TGCTTCTGATGTTCCGATTGCTGCCACCAGAGGGACTATTGGGCTGTCTGTGCTGTCGTGAGGGCCGCCCCTTAATGCGAGAAGACCTGGTGAGGGTGCAGGGGAGGGGAGGGGAGGGGAGGGGAGGGGAGGGGAGGGGAGGGGGGAGTGAGGGTATGGTGGGGGTGGGCGGATGCTTGAGTCCTCTCTCTCATCCTCCTCTCTCGTCCCCTCCACTCTCTCACCCTGCCCTCTCTCACCCTCATCCTGAATGGTGGCCTTGACAGCTCGTCCCTGCTGGGCCCATCTATGCGCTGCTTGCGTAGGCATCATAACATAGCCTGGATTGTGAACGTGTCTCAACGCACCTCACCTGAAAGGCGTCCTTTCCTCACGTTGAAAGGCTCCCTCTGCGCTCTCTTACCCTCCTCCCTCTCGCCCTCTTCCCTCTCTCGCTCACCTTGAATGGTGGCTTTAACAGCCTCGTCCCTGCCGGGCAGAATATCCACCTCCAGCAGCAGCTCTGACAGCACACCCAGTGCCCTGGATTGCAGCCATGGGCAGGAGATACCTCACCTGAAATCCTCCCTCCCCCGCTCACCCTGAAAGGTGGCTTTGACAGCCTCGTCCCTGCCGGGCAGTATATCCACCTCTAGCAACAGCTCTGACAGCACGCCCACTTCTGCCTCCTGAACCGCAGTTTGCTGCACGGCCCACTGCCCTGAATTGCGGCCATGGGCAGGAGACACCTCACCTGAAACGCGCTCTCCCCTCTCACTCACCTTGAATGGTGGCCTTGACAGCCTCGTCCCGGCCGGGGAGTATATCCACCTCGAGCAGCAGCTCGGACAGCACGCCCACTGCTGCCTCCTGCACCGCACCGTGCTGCGATGCCAGCGCCAGCAGCAGCGCCTGGTGCAGGGGCGCGTGCTCCCTGTGTAGTTCTGATAGCGTCAGCCCTGCTTGCTTCCTGGACGGGCGAGAAGATATGGAATTGTGGGATGGGATAGGGTGGGTTGGTTGGAGTTAAATGCGTTAGATTGGTGAGGGATGGGTGGGAAGGAAAGACAAATGCTGGCATTGGTTGAGGGGGGTTGGTAAAATGATGGGGTTAGGAGAGAGGAGATCAAGGTGAGTTGGCACTGGACAGTGAGCATCTGTGAGCGTGAGTATGTTTTTCCCAGTGCATGCGAACATGCGCCATCGTAAGAGTGAGTGCATGCATGAATGAATGCTTGATTGCATGTATGAGACTGCATGCATGCGTGACAGCAGCAGCAGCAGCAGCAGCAGCAAAATCAGCAGCAGTCAATCACGTGCGCACCAGCGGGCGAGGCAGGTGAGGCTCTTGGCGATGGTGTCAGGGGGCAGGGTATCCGCCACAGAGGACGTCAGCGCCCGCTCCAGCAGCCGAATCACCTTGGGACAGCAGTCCTGCAGACACTCCATCACCTGCCAAGCTCATTCCCATCCACAGAGAGAAAGAGGAGGAACGTGTGAGGCGCCCTTGTTCAGAGTACCATGATCAATGGCTAGAATAATGCGCTCTCTATTCACTTTTACGCCCTCATGTCCCCGCCACCATGACCCCCCCCGCCCACCACCCCGGTAACATCACCCACCATCATCAGCACCCTCACCCTCGCCCTCAGCATCACCCTCAGCATCACCCCTCACGTCAAGAGCCTGCCTCCCTCACCCCTAACTTCCCCCCTCGCACTCCCCCTACCTCTCTGGGGTGCGCCCGCGCGCGCAGCAGCGCCTCTTCCGCCAGCGCAGTGAGCAGCTCCACCGCCACCCCATACTCCGCCTGCCTCTCCACCGCCTCCATCAACTGCCGCGCGCGGACGCCGGGGAAGGGGGAGGGCGCGGGGGTCGAAGGGGAACGCGGGGTGAACCCAACGGGAGAGAACCAGGGGGGATAAGAGAGCGGATGGGAGCTCAGAGACAAGCCACGAAAACGGAGAGGTGACGGGAAGGGGAGATGGCAGAAGAAGGGGCGGGAGGAGGGGTTGCGGAGTGGGTGGTGTGGGGGTGGTGTGACTTCAGGCGTATGGAGCAGGGAGGAAAAACGTTGTTCTCTACCGAGATAAAACCTACCTCATAGCACCTCACTACCTCATAGCACCTCCCTACCTCATAGCACCTTTTGGGCCCCAAAAAAAATATTATACTCATCGCACGTCTTGGAACCGTAATTTTAGACTACCTCGTAGCACGTGTTGGGGCCGGCAAGAGCAGCAGCCGCGCCGATGACGATGCAGAGCCGCGATCGCACCACGGGATCCATCCCCGGCGCCAGCGCGGCCGGCAGCTGCCGCACCAGCGTCTCGAAAATCTCCGCCGCATCTTCCGGCGACAGCTGACCCCAATCCGACCGCATCTTATTTAGGAGGATATTTAGCGCGAAGAATCTAACGTCCGCCGCGCCGCCCACGCCCGCTCCTGGCGGCGGGAACGCTAAGTACAGGACCACGGTCCACACCACGGGCTGCCCGCAATACGTATTCAGCCAGTCGTTCGCGGCTTGACGCTTAGTTAGATCCGGGTCGTGCAATAACGCGGATATCGCGGCCTCCATCTCCTTTGCTCCGGCTAGCAGCGCCTGCTCGTCGTCGGAAGCGGGAGGAGCGCGGGAACTCGCCATGGCTGGTGAACCCCCCGCGGCGCTCCCGCTGCGGTAAAGATTATGATTATTCGCGAGACTGGGATCGATGGAAGGGCTAGTGAAGGAGGGCGAGCCGGCGTGGTGCGCGGTCGGGATGGGAATGGTTAGAGGCGAGGTCGGAGGTAAGCCGCTGCCTCCTTGTTGACCCGCCATGGATAAGAGGAGCCTGGGTTCGTCCCACCGCTACTGTTCTTTGCTGATAAAAAAATAAAAGGTTGAAAGCGAACCAAGAAATCGCTATCAGTGGATTCTTCGCACTGATGGGACGATAGGAGGAGGCGATTATGGAATGTTCGCGACGGGTTGGCGTAATGGTGACGAAACGGCGCCCAAGCAGGAAGAGAGGATCGAGGTGTCAAATCTAAAGGTTAGTAAGCAGACGATGCGCGAACACCTAAAAAAAATCCCGACATGGAATTTCCGATTGCAAACTCCACGGAATGTGTGCGATTCTCGATGGCTCGCTGCGACGAGAGACTAACCAGCTACCGAGCAACCCGAAAAATACTCCGGGCGACGAGACGCACCGATAGCTTCGTTTCTATCTGCTTACATCACCACAGAAACCTCCAGACCAGAGTGTGAAGGGCGGCGCGGATATTCGAGCGTCGATCAGTGCAAGGCTGACGACTACTAGCTTGCGTGTTCGAATGATCACCAAGGATAGAACCTGCAGGTCCTATCGTCAGATCAAATTCTAACCTAACAGGTGCTGGCGTGGTGTGGAATGGGGTAGTGAGGGAGAGGGAGAGGTCAGTCAAAAGAAACTCATGTTGTTGGTGGCTTTCGGCTGAGGCGGAGCGCAACGTGACGACAGCCGCCATTGAAATGCAGCAGTCCTGTTCTGTGCTGTACTGTTGAGGGTGCAAGCCCCAAGGAGTTTTCGCACAAGTTCGCAGAACCCCAGAAGGTTCGATTCTACACGATGCAGCGGCTGCATGCATGGCTCTTCTGGGGGAGAGCAGAAGTGCATGGCGAAACAAGCATCGTTCGTTACGCAAACGTGTGACGGACGAACTGTAACGCTTGAACGGCCGAGAGATCTGGAACCTAGACTTGGAGTCAGCATGCAAACGCGCTGGTGTGGTCCCCACCTACCATGATTTTGTTCGCGATTTTAACTTGTGCATCCGTAAAAAGAAATACATACCAAGACTGTATCTCAATGAGCCATCGCATATGTAAATTCCTCGATAATCGATCTAGTGCAAGAGTTCTGCACAATATTGGTGGATGTTTGCTCATTCTTAGCGAATACACCGTACTCGCTGTAGCATCTTAACTAGAGCAATGTGGTCCTAGTGTCACATGGGTTTGTAACGAAGGAATGGAGCACGTTCTGTCGCGGCTCGTCCGTCCACTGATCCTCCGGGCTTTTCCGACTTGAAGTTTCTCTAAAAAAGTGCCTCTTCATCTGCCGTGCCATTCCCCATTCGTCAATCCAGCCCCCATTTCGCTGCCCTAGCCAACCACCACATTGCTGCTCGGCGCAACTGCTGCCCGAACAGATTCATAGGGCAAACATCCCGTACCATCTTTCGAATCTCCAACACACGTCCATCCTCTGCCCGCAAAATGCACCATGGTGGGCAGAGCGGCAGGTGAGGAGGCACCTACAACCAAACCTCCGTCACTTCCAATCCCAGGGAAACTCGAAACGCACCTTTCCGCGGACGAAAAAACCCTAAAGGAGGATCAACCGAGCGCTTGCGCTGCCGTTTACCTGTCAAGTTGACCAGTTGGGTCGTCAAGTCACAAGACGTGCGACCGTGAGTGCTGTCGCCCTGACCTGACCCCAAACACGAAGCTTTAGCAGCACGCTGATCGTCAGTCACAGGAGATGAGATGCCCACTAGCATAGCAGTAACGGGTCGATAGTGCAGGTGAATGACCTGTCTTTCCGAGCGACCAAGTTTATTACGTTTGTGGCAACTCACGGCCTCATGGTATGGCTAGTATGCTATGGGGGAAGAGGAAAGGCAGGCTGCAAGACGATGGCGAGACCTCTAAACAAGCAACAGTTCCCAAGACCTCGTCGAATGAACCTCCGAGAACGGAGACAGAGCTCGAAGCTATCGGCAGCCCCGTCGTAAACGTTGACGTTGACGGTGACGGACAGACCAAACGGAATGGCGCGTGGGGGAAACGGTTGGGTAGTCTATTGGGGTCGATACACGCGGGAGAGCAGGCCGGTAAGGAGGGTAAGGCGAGGGATCGGCATAGCGGGAACAGCTCCCCGCTTTCGCCGCAAAATGAGCGGAAGAAGAAGAAGAAGAAGCGCGGAAAAGGGCTGTTCGCGATGCCGACTTGCATATGCATGCCGGCCACAGGAATTAACACGACGGGAATCACCATGGACGACGATGATTGGCTGGACGATCCCGTCGGCGATCCCGAAAAGCGCAAGCAGCAGCAGGCGCGGAGAGGACCTGGAAAAGGTGGCCGTTGGTTTCCGTCGGCTGAGGAGGTGGATACAGAGGAGGAGGAAGGCGGCGCGGACGGTGGTATCGACGCGGGCAGCAAACCGAATCGTCTTTCCGCTGAAGCTAACGCTGACGTTCTCGCGGTGACGGATTGGGGCCGCGCGCCGCCCTCGAGATTGCCGTGGGGCGACTACGGCGATGACGTGGACCCGTCGCGCGAGTCGTCGTCGATGCTGAGGCCGGAGCGCGGGAAGAAGACGGGGGGACGGGAAGCGCGTGACAGTAACGAGCGGCCGTCGCCGCCGTCTCCCACGGCTTCAGGTGACGTCTGATTCGAAAGGGGCTGATTTGAAAGGGGAAGACGGGGAAGAGCAACGAAGAACGAGCGTTGTGTTTTGTCGGGAGAAAGTGCCATGCCTTGGTGAATGCACCGCGCGCGAGTTATGCATGCAAGGGGCGATTATGTTTACGGCTTGATATCTTAGACCTTACGAGTTCCTATCACTGCATGTCCCTACCTGTCCTTGCGAAAGCTCACTCGGCTCTCCCCCTCCCATTCCCTTCGCCCCTACCAACTCTGTCTCGCCCCATCCCCCGCGCTCTTCCCTTGCGCTCGTTCCGCGCGCGCCCTTCCCCCGTGCCCGTGCGCCCTCCGCGCCATGCAGGTTCCGATGCCAGCACGGGCACCGGCCGTTCGCGGCAGGGCGGGGCGGCGGGCGCAGCAGCGGCGGCGGCGGCAGCAGCATGGCGCAAGCGGAGCGGGCGCAGCTCGTTCCGCCTTGGCGGCTCCAGCAGGCGCGGAGAGGGCACGGGGGAGAGTGAACGCGAGGGGGAGAAAGGGGGGAAGGCGCAGGGGGAAGGGACGGATGCGGAAGGGGGAAAGCGGAAGTTTGGGGCTAGAGCGTGGAAAAGAGGTGCGGGATTGAATGAAAGGGAAGGGGATGAGACCTCGGAGGGGCAAATGCGCGCGCGCACTCCCCGCACTCCCCGCACTCCCGGCACTGCGCGCACTCCCCGGACTCCGCGCACGCCGCACACACCCAGAACGCCCCGCACCCCTGGTAGCCTTGCGCGCGCGCATGGCAATGCGCGCACGCCCCGCTCCCGCGGGCCCACCACGCCTGGCGGCAGGCGCAGCCGAAGCAGGGGGAACGCGGACGGGTGGGGGGAGGGGAACGGGGGATGGAAGAGGGGGGAGGAGGGGGATGATGAGGACACGGTGGGGGAGGGTAGGGGCGCGCAGAGACGAGGGGGGGGTAGCAGGCATGGGCGGGGCGGTGCTGGGGTAGGTAGTACTGGTGAGGGAGGGAGCAGTGGGGACGAGGAAGGGGAGGAAGAGGTGACAGGGGCTGGTGTGAGGTTGGGGGGAAGAAGGGGGCGGCGGAGGAGGGGAGGGAGTAGGGGGAGCGCGGGGAGTGAAGCGCGGTGGTGGCGGAATGTGTCTAGGGATGGGGACATGGGGAGTGAGAGTGCGGAGGGGGAGGGGGAGGAGCGGGTGGAGGGAGGGAGGGAGAAGGCAGGCAGGCGGCAGGACGCAACGAGCAAGCGTAGCAGCGGTGCTGGTGGTGATGCTGCTGCTTCTGCTTCCGCTTCTGTATCCGCTGGTGGTGTTGGCAGCAGGAGCGAGCATGCAAGGAGCGACGGTGACACTGGCACTGACGCTGATGCAGGCTCTGATAGCAGCAGCAGCAGCAGCAGCGGCAGCGGCAGCGGCAGACTTTCCCCCGAGCGGTGGCAGCAACAAGAGCACAGAGAGCCGGCAGCAGCAGCAGCAGCAACAGCAGCGGAACTCTTTTGGGTTGGACCATAGCCGCTTCCTGAGCCGCGTGTATGGTAGTGAGAGCAGCAGGGGCGATGCAGGCCCGGGGGGAAGCTATAACTGGCGCGCAGAGGATGCGGGGAAGGATGGGGGAACAGCAGGTGGGGGGGATGGAGAGAGTGGGGAGAATGGAGGGGTGGTGGGGAGTGAGAAGCGGTTCTGGTGGGAGGCGGGTGCGGTTGGGGGGAAGGATGGGGGGGAGGAGTTGTTTGGAGCGAGAGTGGGGGGTTTGGGTGTGGGTATGGGAGGGGCGTTTGGGGGAGGGCGAGGTGGGCGGAACGGGGAAGGGATGGTTGGGGAGAGCTTGTTTTTGAAGAGGTTGAGGAATAGTTATGGGGGGGAGAAGGACGTTGATTACTGTAGTACAGTGAGTGAGAGTGAGCGAGGGAGTGGGAAGGAGAGGGCGAGTGTGGTGAAGAGTGGGAGTGAGAGTGGGAGTAACAGGGATGGGGAAGAGGGGGAGTGGGATGAGGAAGGAGGGGGTGAAGCGGCAGTGGAAGCTGGAGAAGGGAGGGAGTGGGGAGGAGGGATGAGGGCGAGAAGAAAGGGAGATGGATCAGATGGTGGGGCAGGAGAGAGAGATGGAGAGGGGGAAGGGAACGGAGAGGGGGAGGGGGAGCGAGAGGGAGAGGGTGAGGGAGAAGGAAGGGGAGGGGGAAGGGGAAGGGGAGAGGGCGGAGCAGCTGTAGTTTCTGCGCGCTCGCGGTTCAGAATCAACATTGATTCGCTGAGGCGCAAGGGCAACGCGAGCGTGGGCGGGCGTGATGCTGCCTCCCATGCTGCCGGGATGCTCTCGCCTAGCGATGGTGACGGCGATGGTAACAATGGTGCTATTGGTGGTGCTAGTGGTGGTGCTGGTGATGGTGGTGATGGTGGTGGTGGCGGCAATAGTTGTGTTAATGGTGAGGAGTCTGAACATGAGAAGCATGACGGAGATGGTTGTGATGATTCTCAGCATGATGGTCATGATAATCACTCGCCTGTCACCGCCGCCAACTCTGCTGTGCTGATTGCCGCCATGCATGGGAAACCAAATGCTTGTCATGCCACATGTTTGCCCCTATCCCCCACCTTGTCCCCAACATTCAAGCCCCTGTCCCCTGTCAAACCCCCCGGCACCCCTTCCTCCCGTTCCCCCCGCACCGCCTCCCTCCGCTCCCCCGCCTCCTTGTCCGCGCGCCCTTCCCCCCCTCTCTCCCCGCTCTCCCCCAGCGCCTCCTCCCCCGCACCTGACACCTCCGCTGACCACGCTGCCTTGATTCCGCTTGACCTTCCTTCGTCCGCTGTTCCCCTGCCTGCGCCACCGGCGCTGTCAACGAGAGAACCCACCTCATCTCTATCTCCTGACTCTCACCTCCATGCTGCCTCTTCTCCTCCTCCTTCATCCGCGCTTCACTCTGCTTCCTCCTCTCCCTCCGCGCTCCCTCTCGACTCCCACCTCTCCCAACCGTTCTCCACTCCTCTGTACCCGGAAGACCCATCGTTCCTGGCGCTACCTGCTGCTGCTGCTTCGTCGTCCCTTCAACCGCCCTATACCTCCGTGCAACCCACCTATACCTCTCGTTATGCTGCTCAATACGGAGCAGGGGCAGGAGCAGGGGTAGGGGCAGCGGCAGGGGCAGCAGGGGCGGGCAGGGGCGGGAGGGCTAGAGTGGGGGTGGCAGCAGCGGCGCTGGCAGCACTCGGAGGGGGTAAGGGCAGGAAGGCTTGGTCTCGTGCTCCTGCTGCTGCTCCTGCTGCTGCTGCTGCCCCATCTGCCTCTGCTGCTGCTGGTGCTGATCCTGATGCTGCTGCTGTGGGTGGGGCGGAGAATAGGGAGGAGGAGCAGGGCCAAGGGAAAGCGAGAGTGGGATGGATGGGAACGCGGAGGAACCAGGAGGAGGAGCGGCAGAGGCTCAAGGCGCTGATGCGCAGCAGCAGTGGGGAAAGGGACGAGGGGGAAGTGGGGAATGTGAGGGACAGTACAGGGAGCGTGGGGGGAACAGGAGTGGTGAGCCGGGCTTATGGGCATGGGTCGCACGGGGTTGGCGCGAATGGGGATGAAACGGATGGGATGAGGAGCAGCAGTGGGGGTTCGTTTGGGTGGGGCATGAGGCTGCTGCAGCAGTCTGGGTCTGGGTGTAAAGAGGTGGAGATTGTAGAAGGAGATGGGGAGAGTGGCGAGGGGAGAGGAGGGGAGGAGACGGAGGGGCATGATGAGAGTGTGGCGCGAGGGGGTGTGGTGGGAGTGAGAGGGGCAGTGGCAGCAGCACACGTGGCAGAAGAGGGAAGGAATGCGGAGGGGAACAACGCGGAGGTGTGGGGAGAGAAAGAGAGGGAGGAAGCAGGAGCACAGAGCCTTGGCACTACACAAATAAGGAAGGAAAGGGTGGAAGCAGGCGGAGGAGCAGGAGGAGCAACAGGTCCGGATTATTCTCGGTTCTGGAATCAGAGCAGGGCTAGAGCGGAGCAAGGGGATGAAGAGGAGGAAGAGGAGGAGGTGGAGGAGCCGCCATGGGAGATGCTGAGGGACATTCACGATGAGATGGCTGCTGAGTGGCTGCGCAGGGGCCTGCTCAGACGAGCGCTTGGTGAGTCGCAGGGTGGCAAGACGGGCGAGGGTGAAGAGGAAGAAGGGGAGGGGGAACATGAGGCGGAGGAAACGGAGGAAGAAGAGGAGGGGAAAGATGCTGGGGAGGAAGAGGGGGAGGAGGAGGAAGAAGGGGAGGTGGTGGTGGTGAAGGAGGTGGTGATGGTGGAGGAGGAGGAGAAAGAGGAGGAGAGAGAGGTGGTGGTGGGGGTATGGGAAGCAGGAGCGAGGGAGGAGAGGAACGAGGAGCGGAAAGAGGCGGTGAGCGCTGACGGGTATGTGAAAGGTGGGGACAATGGAAGCGAGGCTGTGCGCTCCTCTGGTGCTGTATCATCATCAGAATCATCAGCATCATCAGCAGCATCAGTATCATCTGTGGCGTCTCCTCCTGTGCTACCTTACTTCAGCCCTTTCTTCTCCGCTTCACCCGCATCCTCCTCGCCTCCTGATGTGCAAGCCCAGTCCACGGCACCAGCAGCACCATTACCGCCACCACCAGGAGCAGCAGCACGAGCAGCGGCAGCAGCAGCAGCGTTACCACCACCACCAGGAACAGCAGGTGCTGCAATAGCAGCAGTGACAGTGCCAACACCACCTTCACCGCCCTCCACTGATTCTGTGCCCGCCGTGCCTGCTGCGGCTGCTGCTCCTGCTGCAAGCACCGCCTTCTCTCCACTGCTCTCCCCGTTCTCTCTCTTCTTTGGCACCAGCAGCAACAAAGCAGACGAAGCTCTCCCTTTAGCCGACACTGCTACCACCGCTGCTGCTGCTACTGCCACTACAGCCGCTACTGCCAATGCCACTGCCATTCCCACTGCCACTCCTGCCACTGCCCGTGGCAGCCCTATTGCAGCAACAGAATGTAAAGAAGAGCACAGAATGAAAGGTGGGGCCAGTGGAGAGCAAATACCAATGATAGGAACACAGGAGGAGATGATGCAGGGGCAAGAGTACGAAGAAGAGGAGGAGGGGAACCGGTGGTGGGAGAAGGGGAGCGGAGGGTTATTGAGGTACCGCAGTGGTGGGAGTGATATGGACCCGTTTGGCTCAGGCAAATTCTTCCTATTGCCCTCTGAAAAGACAGGATCCGGTGATGTGTCATCCCACCGTCAAGACCCACTCTCACCAGTCTCACCAGTCTCGCCAGCTTGACAATCCGTTTGGCTCCGGCAAGGGCTTTTTCCTGCCTTCGGAGAAGAGAGGGTGGTTGATGGGCGGGAGTGTGAAGGAGGGGGAGGAGGTGGAGGAAAAGGAGGGCATGGAGAATGGGGATGGGGATCATGGTGACGATAGGAATGAGGGTGGGGATGGGGATAGGGATGGATATAGGGATGGAGATAGGGATGGGGATGGCCACTTAGAGAAGGATGACGGAGGGAAGACGGGAGATGAGAGTGCGGATGGCACAGAACCCAAGTCAAGCGAACGAGCAGAGGGGGTAGCAGCAGCAGCAGCAGCAGCAGCAGAAGCAGCAGCAATGGTCTCACCATTGCCCGCAGAACCTGGTTTCTCCTCGCCTGACCCATCCATGACCGCACATGCCCCGTGCACCCCTCACATACAGGACAAACGCATCTTCTCCTCCCCCTCCACCGCCTCCCCGTCCCCTCTCTCCTCATTCACCCCGTCCCTCTCCACACCCTCTCCGCCCACTGCCTCCTCCTCCTCCTCCTCCTCCTCCTCCTCTGCCTCGTCAGCATCATCCCTGGCGCCCCACACGCCTCCTCTCCCCCCTCCGCCTGGCCGTGTGCTCGTCTTCTCCCCCGCCTCGCCCTTGGACGAGCAGCCTGAGGAGACTTCTGAGGCGACTCAAAAGTCAAACACGCCTCCTCTTCCCCCTCCACCTGGTCGTGCGCTCGCCTTCTCCCCCCTCACGCCCCCCTTGGACGAGTGGCCTGAGGAGGGCCATACTTCAGAAACGCCTAAAAAATCGCCTACTCTCCCTCCCCCGCCTGGTCGTGTGCTCGCCTTCCCCCCCGTCACGCCCCCCTTGGACGAGTGGCCTGAAGAACATATATCAGAAGCGCCTCAGAAATCGCTTCCTCTGCCCGCTCCTCCTGGCCGTATGCTCGCCTTCTCCCCCGCCCCGGCCTTGGAAGAGCAGCGTGAGGCCGAGGGCGTTTGCACCACAGCAACGACAACCTCACAGCATGAGGGAAGCAACTGTGAGGGCGAGGGAGCGAAGCACCTGTTGTCGCCTGTGCACCACCCAGCGTCGTCATCCCCGCAAGCAGCGCCTCTCGAGTTGCCCTCGCCACCATCCCAGCAACCTGCATCACTGGAGCTCTCATCTCACCTGGACCAACAGGGTCCATCAGTGGAGGTACCGTCCCCGCTGTCCCAACACGCGACATCTCTAGAACTCCCCTCGCCATCACAGCAGGGCACGTCAGTGGAGGTATCTCCAGTGGGGTCACAGGGAGGGCGGATGAAGCCGTGGCTTGAGACGTCTCAAAACACGTCCCAACGCGCGGCACCTTTAGACCTCCCCTCTCCGTCGCAGCAAGGCGCGTCAGTGGAGGTATCCCCAGTGGGGTCACAGGGAGGGCGCATGAAGCCGTGGCGCAGCAGAAGCATAGGCGCCCGGGCAGGCATTCCCAGCCCCCGAGCTAGCATTCCCAGTCCCAGGACTCGTGAAGCGGGCACAGCAGGTGGAGCAGGAGGGGCAGGTGGAGGGGCTGGGGGAGGGGCAGGAGGGGCGGGTGGGTCGCTGGTTAGTCCAAGGTCAGGCAGGATACTGAGTCCAAGAGGGGTGGGGATGAGCGGGGCAGGGGAGGGAGAGGAGGGCAGGGGGGGTTCTGTCTTCTCTGCCTCTTCCGCTCGCCTCGCACGCCCGCCACTCCCAGCACCCCCCCTCGCCTCCGCCTCCTTCTCCCCCTCTCTCTCCTCTGCCGCCACCACCGTCGACGACGCTGCTGCTGACGCTGCTGCTGCTGCTGCTGGCGCTGCTGGTGCTGCTGGTGGTCTTTCCAAACCCCTGTTGACTTCCTCCTCCTCCTCGTCCTTCGGCGCACGTCCTCTCGCCTCCCTGCACTCGCAGCTCTCCCTGCCACACCTGCCCCGCATCACCACCGCCGCCACCTCTGCTGTCAACGCCGCTGCTGCTCGCACGGGCAGCTCCATAGCTGCTGCTGCTGCCGCCGCCGCCGCTGCTACTGCTGCGTCCAGTGCAAGGAGTCGCAGTGAGGGCAATAGCCCGTCAGTGGCAATGGCATCTGCAATGGCGTCTGGAAGGTCATCATCAGGTGCAGCAGGGAGTGCCCTCAGCTTCTTCTCCTCCTCGCCCTCCTCCACCCCTCGCTCGCTCTCGCCCAGCAGAGCAGCACCGCCGGTCAATCCCCGGCGCTGGCTTAACTGCCTCAAGTCGCACCCGCTTATCGGTCCCAAGGTGGGTAGAATGCAGCAGCTTCTGAGATGTCTGGTCTGGTGTTGGGTGAGGCACCTCAAATCTGGGTATCGTCCCCACCCCTTCCTCTCCTTCCCATCGCTGCCTGTACCACTCCACAGATCACAGCTCGCGACGAGGGCCCGCTGCAGTTCATTCAGGACATTCGCATCCTCGACTGCCCCAACAGTGCCAAGGTCTGCCTGCCTGCCTGCTGCCGCCCTCCACTCCACCCATGCCAACGTCTTAATGATAGCTTGCACAAGTCCCTTGAGAGTTCTCAAGAACAGCTCTCTCTCCTTAATGTCCTGTGCCGTGCTGTGCACTCCTGCACCGTCCTGCACCGTCCCATGCCATCACCACCGTGATTCCGTTCTCTGCCATTCCACTCCTCCCATCCCAAAAGCTCACTCACTAATCAACTCGCACTCGCTCTCTCCGACTGAGCTCCTCTGTCCTCGCCTCCTGGGCTTCCCCCATCCATGCCATGCTGTGACACCACCACAGGGAGCGCGAGTGGAGTTTCTGTTCCGCGCCAATCCCTTCTTTGGCAACATTAGGGTGAGTGAGACTTGCCCGCTGCACTGATATTTAACCCTTGTTAGGCAGGTTGGCCTGATAGGTACTGAGCTATAATCTGTGTCCATTGGACCTTGAGACTTTTTTTGCTCTGACTGATGCTCTGGTGATTCAACTTCATGCTCTGACTGGTTTTCTGATTGTCAATTCACACAACCATCCTCCCGTTTCACCTGCCTTCGCATTTTTGTGCGTGCATTTGTGCATGGTGTTTGTGCGTGTTTGTGTGTGCGTGTTTGTGTGTGCATGCATGTGTGTGCATGCGCATGCATGCTTGTGCATGCGTGTGCATGCATGTGTGCAGCTAACCAAGTCGTACATAGTGAAGGACAGGATTCGCTACGGTGACCCGCTCTTCTCCAGCATCCAAGGGTCAGTGACTGTAACTCTCCCACTGACCCGTTTCTCTTCACCCCCTCTCCCACTCTCACCCCTACCCCCACTCCCACTCCACTTCAAATTTTAACTTCCCAACTGATGCTCCATCACCCATCCGCTTCTCCCCCCCTTCCCCTCCCTCCACCCCCCTTACTCTCCCGACTCCATTTTGCAATCTCCCAACTACCGCCCTTGCATGCCCCTCTCCCTCCCCCTTGACCCTCTCCTCTGCTTCCCATTCTTCCTCTCCTTGTATCCCTTGCACCCCCATTTCGTCTTCTGAGGCAGCTCCTAAGCCGCTTTCATATTTCAGCACGATGCCAACCCCATCCCTCCTAACCCCTCCCGCTCTCTTCCTCCCCTCCTTCCCCTCCCGCACATTCCTCCTCCTCTTCTCCCCTTCCCCACACATGCACATATACGCAAATGCACACACATCCTCCCCCGGACTCTTTCTCAACTCCACAATTTACTGTTTTTCAGGCAAACACATCACCAAAGGACCTCTCTGGGTTGACTCAAAAGTCCCTCCCTCTTCCCTCTCTTCTGCCCTTCCTCTCAATCACTATCCACTGGCTTCCAGGCAAAGACGTCACCAAGAGACCTCAGAGTTGACTCAAAAAAGTCCTTTCATCTTCCTTCCCTTCCGCCCTTCCACCCCTTTCGCAGCTCCACTATCCACTGGCTTCCAGGCAAAGATGTCACCAAGAGACCTCCCCTCCCCTCCTCTCGCTCCATCTCCTCCTCCTCCTCCACCACCACTGCCACTGCCACTGCTCCTGCCGCTCCCGCTTCTACTGCTCCCGCTGCCACAGAACCTGCTGCTGCTGCTGCTCCTGCTAGTTCCACTGGTTGGTTTGGGTGGTTCAAACCGGCAGCAGCAACGGCTGCAGCAGCAAATGCCATTGCTTCTACCGCCACTGGTGCTGCTGGTGGTGCTGCTGGTGCTGCTGGTGCTGCTGGTGCAGACACAAGTGGGTCAGGAGGAGGTGCCGGCAAGGAGGGAGAGGGGAAAGGTGAAGGAAGAGGGGCAGCGCAGGGGCAGCAGCAGCAGCAGCAAGTGGAGGAGGAGGAGAGCTTCTTTTTCTTCTTCCGCTCGCGCCCCGCACTCACAGAGGAGGAGTCTTCAGAAGAGACTGTGGTACGTGAGAGGGGGAAGAGGGTGAGAGGGGAAGATAGTGGGAAGAGGGGAAAAAGGGGGGGGAGAATATGGGGGGAAAGGTGGGGAGGCTGGACGGGGCGAGAGGAGGAGGGGGGTGGGGGTTGGGAAGTGAAGGAAAGGATAATCATGGGAGGAAAGGGCAATGCGCAGAAGGAGGGTGACAGATGAAACAAAACTACCAGGCAATTTTGGTGAATGTGAGCCTTGGGAGCGATTTTTGAGACTTCTCAAAGATGTGAATGTGTTGGGAGCTGTTGGGTTCAAATCTCCCCTCTTTGAGAATCCTCACTAAGAGTGGTGTTGCCTCTGTGTGGATCTGCCTGCTTGGGCGTCTGTGCGTTCGTTCTTGCATGTGTGCGAGCACTCGGGCATGTGTCGTGTGCCTGCATGCTTGTGCATGTGCATGCTTGTGTGTGTGCATGCATGCATGCATGCATGTGCACGTGTGCATGCGTGCATGTGTGTGTGTGTGTGTGTGCGTGTATCTGTGCCTGTGTCTGTGTGTGCGTGCGTGCACGTATGTGGAGGGCAGGAACTGAAGCTACTGGAAGATGTGGTGACACAGGCAGCGGAGAGAGAGTAAGTCATGCAATGCTCTCTCATGCTCTCCCATGCTCTTTCATGCACTCTTATGCGCCCTCATCACCACCCTATCACTGTATCCATCCTCCCCATCTCCAACCAAGCTCTCTTGCCCCTTTGCCCTAGCCTCTTTCGCCTTGTTGCCTGCCACTAATTCCTTCCTTCCCCTGATTCTTCCACCTCGCAGCATCGAGGCTCCGGAGCGAATAGTGACGAACCTGCTCGCGTGGTATTCGCACCTGGAGGAGGGAGCAGGGGACGACGAAAGCAGCAGTTGCGGCAGCAGCAGCAGTGGGACAGAAACAACAGAGGGGGATTCTCTGGAAGCAGAGAGAGCAGGGAGTGGGAGTAAGGGGAGCGGGAGGAGTGACAGAAGTGGGAGGAGTGAGGGGAATGAGGAGGGCGATGGTGGTTGCACTGGTGCAAGCAGGTTGACGGTAGCGGGTGTAGGGGCAGAGATGATTAAGGGTGATGGGAGGAGTGGCGCCCGACTGGTGTGGCGGGATGGGGTGAGAGTAGAGGAGAAGGGGGGCGGGGAGGAGGATGCGGAGGAGGAGGAGGAAGGGAAGGCGAAGGAGGTGGGATGGAAGCAGATAGTTAGGCACACGACCAGTGAGGATGGTTTAGCAACGGTGGGTAACGATTTGGTAGGAAAACGGAAGGCGGAAGGGGAGAATGACAGGAAAGAGGAAGGAATGGAAGAAGAGGAGCAACTGAAAGGCCAAGAAGCCACAAGCGAGCCAAACTCCCCTCGTACCATACCCCTCTCCTTCCATCCCACTTCGGCCTCCCCCGATTGGTTGAGAATCGATCGCTTCCCCCATCCCTCTTCCACCCCCATCCCGCCTCAACTCTCCACCCAGCGTCCGCCCGCGCTCCTTGCTCCCCCCCATCCCCTTCCGCCGCTTTCCCCCTGCGCCACCACCCCTCCCCCTCCCCCGTGCCCCGCGCAACCCTGGTCTGAGGAAGGGCTGTGGCTGCTGGGGCTGAAACCGGGCCCAGATGCGGCTAGGTTGAGAGAGGTGCGGTTGGATAGCCTCAGTGCAGCTTTGAAGGGGCGGAAGTGGAAGGTGGGGGGGAGGGGGGCGGGCGAAGGGAAGGGGAAGTGGGGAGGAGGGAGTGATGGGAGTGGGAGTGATGGGGCGGAGGAGGAAGGTTGGGAGGAGGGAGAGGAGGATGATGAGGAGGAAGAGGAGGTGGAGAGGTTGGGAGAGATGCTGATGAAACTGGAACAAGAGAGAGGGGCGTGGGTTCGGAAGGAGGGGGCGGAGGGGGGTGTGGAGGGAGGAAGGCAACGTGAGGAGACGAGGGGAGGCGAGGAGGAGGAGAGGGAGGAAGACATTGGGAGTGAATCTGATGATGGTATGATGCCGGGGATGGTGGATGGGGGAGGTGGAGGAGGAGGATGGTGAGGAGGGAGCTAGGGGTAGAGCGAAGTTAAGCAGCAGAAATCACGGCATTGATTTCAGTGCAAGGGGAGATGTTGGAGATGAGTTTTACAGGTGCGGAGAGGGTGGGGGCGTTGGAGGGAAAGATGCGGGGAGAGAGGCAGAAGGAAGCAGCAAGAGGGCATCTGCGCCGTCTGGAAGACCATCTGACACATCACTTGACACCTTCTCCCACACGTCACCTGAGACATCACCTGACGGCACACCTGACAGGACTCCTGGAAGCACACCTGAAGGCAACCTGGGGAGCCACGGCAGCTGGAGCTTGCGAATGGGGAGTGAGAGTGAAGAGGCGGAGATGCCTGGTATGGGGGGTGCAGAGGAAGAAGAAGAGGACGACTTTGATGTGCCTCTAGAAGCACTGCAGAGCCTCCGTCCTGCTGAGCCACACCCACTCCTACTCCTGCCGCTCCGACTCAACCCCCACACTCCCACCGCGGCTGCTGCCGCTGCCGCTGCGGCTGCGGCGACTGCAGAAGCAGCAGAGGCAGCTTCGGCGGAAGTGGCGGCGGGGTCAGCGGCGGGGATGCACCCTGGCTGGCCCGCTGCAGGTTACCTCCCTGCTCAAGCGCCCTCTTGAAAAACGGTCTTGTCCTCTTAGCTCTCCCTGTCTTTCCCTAGCTCTCCCTTTCTCTCCCTAACTCTCCCGAGCTCTTCCTAGCTCTCCTTTGCTCCCTCTCTCCTCTTATCTCTCCTCCTTGTCCGGACTTCTCAATCTCTTTCTCCTTGTCCGGTCTGTTTATACTTTCTTTATGATAGTAAGCTAACAAGGTCAAATAATTACCCACTCACATGAGCAGAAGCACCAGTAGTAAGTTCGCTCTCACGTAACCCAACTCCCCAAGCGCTAACCCCCCTCCGCACTCCCACACGCCTTGTCTCTCGCTGTCTCTTCCCTGCACCCCATCCTTCTCCCTTCCTTTCACCCACTCCCCTTGTTTCCTTCACTAACCCACTCCCTGTGTGGCCGCCCCTCCCTCCTGCATGTGCCTGCTGCAGGTGGGTACGCGTGGGGTGAGTGCGAGTGGTGGATGCTGCCTTACCGCCGCACAGGGGGAGAAACAGACGCAGAGACAGAGGAGGGCAGGGAACAGGGAGAGGGTGAAGAGGAGGAGGAGGAGGAAGAGGAAGAGGAGGAGGAGGAGGAAGAGGAAGAGGAGGAGGAGCCTCCAGTGCTGCTGAATCTCAAGTGGAGGGCCGCTGAGCGAACCTCTAGCTCGGTGCACAGCACGTTTGAGAGCTCTCAAAACGGATTCGTGGAGCAAGACAGCACAGGCGCACCACCCTCCCTCTCGCCCACACTCCCCCACACGCACCTCACAGACCTCCCCGATCCCCTCCTGGCCCTCATCCTCGCCCGCATCTCCCACCCCAGCGACATTGCCGCGTGCCTGCTCACCAGCCGCCGCGTCTCCCGCCTCACCCGCTCCTCCCTCTCCCTCCTCGCTCTCCCCCCCGGGGCCCGCATTGCCAAGGGGGATTTACTGCCGTGCTTGGCTGATTCCGGGAGGTATCCGGGGTTGACGGGAGTGGTGTTAGGGAGGGATGCGGTGGAGGAGGAGGGGGATGATGTGGTGCTGGCGCTGGCGGCGTGTGGAGGAAGGCTGGTGAAACTGGCCCTGGATGGCCAGCCCAATGGCATGGTAAGTGGGGCTGGGTGGTGGGAATGGGTGGTGGGAATCGGTGGTGGGGACAATGAGGGGGATGATGTGGTGCTGGCGCTGGCGGCGTGTGGAGGAAGGCTGGTGAAACTGGCCCTGGATGGCCAGCCCAATGGGATGGTGAGTGGTGCAGATGGGTGCTGGGGGGATGTGGTGGAGATGAGGGTTGGGGATGAGTGGTGGAGCTGATGGTGGGGATGCGTGATGCAGGGTGTGAGTGGTGTTTAGGTATGGGGACAGTGTCGGGCCGTCTTTGCTGTTCTAACAGTTTACTTACTTTCTTCTCCCCCCTCCCTTCCTCCCTCCCCTCTCCTTACCATCCAGGATCGCGCCAAGTGCCGTTCACTATCTAGTCTTGACTCCCTCTTTCTCTCCTGCACCAATCTGCAAGCTCTCTCTCTCTGCACCGGTCGCTACACCCGCACGCTCCCGCCCACTCTCTCCTGCCTCTCCGCCCTCTCCTCTCTCGCAATCAACAACAGCGCATGCAAACTAGGACTCATCTCCCTCCCTCGCTCCCTCGGAACTTTGATTAATCTCCGCTCTCTCTCACTGGTCTGCTGCTGGCAGTTAGCTTCCCTGCCCGAACAAATCGGGCAGCTAACAAACCTCCAGGAGCTTCGCCTGATAAGCCTTGACTGCGTTCGTAGGCTGCCCGAGTCTCTGGGCAGATTATCAGCTCTCGAGCTGTTGCACATCCGTTGCTGTTGCTCTTTACTACAGCTGCCCGAAAGCATCGGGCACCTTAACAAACTGACCGAGCTAGTTTTAGACATGACAGGTAGCACTTCGTGGCTTGGAACGATTTCATACCTGCCCGAATCCCTTGGCGATCTATCAAGCCTTAGACAACTAGAGATTCGCGGCTGCCCGAGGATCACTGAGCTGCCCGAAAGCACTGGATACTTAGAGGCCTTAGAGGAGTTTATTTTCGATTCAGGAGGGTTTGCAGATGATTCAGAGGAGTGTGGACTAACCCACTTACCCCTAACCTTCTCCCAGCTTCACTCTCTTAGGCTACTTGATCTCCGGCGCTGCTACGAACTTTCGGCGCTGCCCGAGTCGCTGGGCAGCTTGAGCAATCTCCAGGTGCTGCGTCTGGTGCAGTGCTTTTCTGTGGGGTCGCTGCCCGAGTCCTTGGGGCAGCTGGAAAATATTACAACTATTTATGTGGACAACAGGGTGGATGGAGATTCAGAGGAGGAGGAAGAGGAAGAGGACGATGAGCAGCAGCAGCAGCAGGAGGCGGAGTGGTTTGGAGAAGGAAACACAAAGCGGGAAAAGGCACAAGGGGAGGGCGAGGACGAGGAGGAGGAGGAAGAGGAGGAGGATGGGCCAGGAGGGCTGGTAACCCTGCCTGACTCCCTAGGCAGTTCACGTGGCTTGCAGCGGCTGGTGCTTCGGTCCAACATCGGCCTGCGCTCCCTGCCGGCTTCCCTCCACCTGCTCTCCTCCCTCCGCTGCCTCACCCTTGACTTCTCCGAAACACGGCCGCCGTTATCGTCGGATGCAGAAGCAGGTGCGGCAGCAGCAGCAGAAGCAGAAGCAGCAGTAGATGTATCCGCAACAGCATCAGCGCCTGCAGTTGCTGTAACTGCTGCTGCGGCTGCTGCTGCTGCTGTTGTGACGCCTGGCAGCAAGCTGTGGGACCTCGGGGAAAACGCGTTTGGGTTTGAGCACCAGAGCAGGGGGAAGGCTTCACGTGAAAGAGAAGTGGAGGCGGAGGAGGAAGTGGGGGAGCAGATTGTAGGGTTTCGTGCGTGGGAGTGGGAGATGCAAGGGAGGAAGGGAGGGCAGAGAGGATTTGGAAGAGGGAGTGAGCAGTGGCGGTGGGCGGATGGTGTGGTGGGTGGAACTCCTGTGACCACCTTGCAGTTCTACTTCCACACTGCAGTGCCCTCTGCACCCGCTCCAGCAGCAGCACCACCACCACTACCACCAGGAGCAGCAGCAACAGCAGCAGCAGCAGCAGCAGCAGCAGCAGCAGCACCATCAGCAGCAGCCCACGGCATATCCCATCTGAGCCCCTCCCTCCACCACCTGTCCAGCCTGCACTGTCTCGAGCTCATCAACTGCTCCTCCCTTCGCCACCTGCCCTCCTCCCTCGCCTCCCTCCCGTCCCTCCGCCGCCTGGTCCTGCTCAACTGCCCCGCCCTCACGGCCCTCCCGCAGGGTATCTCCCGCCTCTCCTCGCTCTCCTCCCTCGTGCTCCTGCACTGCCCGCTGCTTGCGGGGAACGATCGGCAGGGAGAAGCAGCTGTTGGAGAGAAGCTGCTGTTAAGGCAGGGGACTGAGACGGGGGGTGAGGATGATGATTCAGCAGCGAACAGTGGTACTGCTAGTGGTGGTGCTGCTAGTGGTGGTGCTGCTAGTGGTGGTGCTGCTAGTGGTGGTGCTGCTAGTGGTGGTGCTGCTAGTGGTGGTGCTGCTAGTGGTGGTGCTGCTAGTGGTGGTGCTGCTAGTGGTGGTGCTGCTAGTGGTGGTGCTGCTAGTGGTGGTGCTGCTAGTGGTGGTGCTGCTAGTGGTGGTGCTGCTAGTGGTGGTGCTGCTAGTGGTGGTGCTGCTAGTGGTGGTGCTGCTAGTGGTGGTGCTGCTAGTGGTGGTGCTGCTAGTGGTGGTGCTGCTAGTGGTGGTGCTGCTAGTGGTGGTGCTGCTAGTGGTGGTGCTGCTAGTGGTGGTGCTGCTAGTGGTGGTGCTGCTAGTGGTGGTGCTGCTAGTGGTGGTGCTGCTAGTGGTGGTGCTGCTAGTGGTGGTGCTGCTAGTGGTGGTGCTGCTAGTGGTGGTGCTGCTAGTGGTGGTGCTGCTAGTGGTGGTGCTGCTAGTGGTGGTGCTGCTAGTGGTGGTGCTGCTAGTGGTGGTGCTGCTAGTGGTGGTGCTGCTAGTGGTGGTGCTGCTAGTGGTGGTGCTGCTAGTGGTGGTGCTGCTAGTGGTGGTGCTGCTAGTGGTGGTGCTGCTAGTGGTGGTGCTGCTAGTGGTGGTGCTGCTAGTGGTGGTGCTGCTAGTGGTGGTGCTGCTAGTGGTGGTGCTGCTAGTGGTGGTGCTGCTAGTGGTGGTGCTGCTAGTGGTGGTGCTGCTAGTGGTGGTGCTGCTAGTGGTGGTGCTGCTAGTGGTGGTGCTGCTAGTGGTGGTGCTGCTAGTGGTGGTGCTGCTAGTGGTGGTGCTGCTAGTGGTGGTGCTGCTAGTGGTGGTGCTGCTAGTGGTGGTGCTGCTAGTGGTGGTGCTGCTAGTGGTGGTGCTGCTAGTGGTGGTGCTGCTAGTGGTGGTGCTGCTAGTGGTAGTGCTGCTAGTGGTAGTGCTGAGAGTACGGCTGGGATGGGAAGTGCGAGGAACGGAGGTTATTGGAGCCGTGGCAGTGGTAGCGGCAGCGGCAGCAGTGGAGGCGGGACACTGACTGAGCTGGTGGGTCTGCCGCTTACAAGGGTGGTGGTGGATGCGCACACACACACGCTGCTGCCTCCATCCCTCGTCTCCTCTCTCCGGCGCAGCGTGGTGCTCCTGTCATCCTGACACGTGCACACCCGAGTTTATTCCACCGGAGCCTTAGAAAAACGAAAAGGAAACGACTCTGGCTCGTTTCACCACGCATTCTCACTCCATCTGAAGCTCTCATTCTCCCCGAGCTTTCAGCAGCCCATGTCCACCCCAAACCTTCTCCTCTCCCTCCCTCACTCCCTCTCCCTCCCCCGGTTTCAAGCTGCTCTCGCTCAGCCTCTGAGGCGGCTTAAAAGCCGCTCTCTTCTCCCATCCTTCTCCCTTCTGCCTCCTCTCACTCACTCACTCTCCCTCACTCTCGTCTCGCCCAGGGGACAAGTGTGCGAGTGCATTCGCGTGCACTGCTGCTGTGACTGTCACAGGCAGCCTCTCGCTGCCCTTGGCTCCGACTCAGCAGCGCTGCACCACCCCTCTTCTCCCCTCTTCTTCTCCCCTGGCTCCCCTCTCCGCCGTGCCTTCTGCAACTGCAAGACCTTTCACAAGTCGCCCATCCATCACCATCGTCTGATACCACCAGCTACCGTACCCCTTCCACGGTTCACCGCCAGCTCGCTTCCAGTTCTCCCCAACGCCATTTTTTAGTCGACTCGACTCAAGAATCGTGTCAGCAAGCCCATCTGACCCCACCCAGCTACCACACCCCATTCACCACAAACCCGCTACTAGTTGCCCCTACCTTACCTATCCCAGCTGCACTGCAGTGTTCTCAGCTTCTTACAGTAGAACTGAAGCGTGCCTGGTACCAGCAGTGGCAGTTGTTACCCGAAACACTCTCTTCGGGCGCTGGAGATCAATTGCCATTCGTGCTAAACTTGGACACATTTGCGTTGTTTACTAACTGATTTGTTGTATAATAAACATTCTACTTGAAGACAAGCGATGTATGTGCAAGATTGTTTTCAATGGCCAAGAGACTCCAATTTTTAAGCTCTTGCCATTTGTCAGTGCTTGATCATCAAAAGCAGATGTAGAGAGGATACGCTCAGGGGTTTTTTTATCAGTGTAATTTACTCTGTTTCTCTGAAAATCAGAGTGGTTTTTGGGGGGTCACTCTGTACCTGCTGGGTAATTTTTTTGAGAGTTACTTGTTCTCTGACCTGTCAGGGTTTTTGTGAAAGTTCACTCTGAAGCGCCAGTGTTTCGTTCCCGGATAGTGAGATTACTCTGTATGGGGGATACATGTACCCCCGAACCCCCGCATTCCCCCTTATCCCCGTGCTGCTGGTTTTGACCGAAGCGCAGGGGATATCACTCGTGTTTCGCTCGTATGTTGGCCGGAAAGGCATATTGCATGCCAGCGCACGCAGGTAGCCACCCACTAGATACACATCAGAGTTAAAGTTAAAAATTACTCTGAGGTGCCAGGGTTTTTAACCTGAAAGCTTGTGTTACACTGACACCTAAGAGAAAGGCTTGCCAAACACTCTGGATTTCAGTGTCATGCCAAAAACGCCTCTGGAAACCAGTGTACTCTAAAACGAAAAAAAAGCCCTGGATAAGCTTTATTTGAAACAACAAACTCGTGCATCAGTTTCATGTGGCCGCAAGGAACACCGTACTAGGCGCTACATGCATAATAAATAACCTAAGATCTCAGAGCATTGCTCCAAGCAAAGCCTAGGCACACGTTAACAAGTTCCAAATCAGAGTCTATCCTTCCAACCAACTTGAAAGGCAGGCAGGGACTCATGGAGCTAGGAAGGGGACCAGGTTGCGAGATACTACGGACAGTTTGCCCTCAGGCAAAGTGCCGTTATGGCAGCAGGCACATCAGCAGGGCTTCTTTGCCCCGCACATGCTCGCTCCACCACACACATCACCATGTCGTCACTGCTTATTTAAGCTACCATGTCATGCCATCAAGCCACATCACACATCGTCACACCCCATTCAACATCATTAAACCACATTACAACCCATCACACCCCATCAAACACCACTACAACCCATCACACCCTGTCAAACATCGTTGCAACCCATCACACCCTGTCAAACACCATTACAACCCATCACACCCCGTCAAACACCGTCACACCCCATCACACAACTCCCCCACCACGCGAGACCACACCTCACCACACGCCACCGCATCACAAGTCATGGTGCAGTGCCGGAATCCCTGCAGCACCACCCACCACACCCCCCACCGCACTCCCCACATGCCCCGAATCCGGCCCCAGAAACGTCTCCTTGTGGTTGAAAAACGTCGCGGCGAGAATCGCGTACATGAGCACGAGCATGAGCCCCTTGAGCCAATTCGCATTGGCCTCGTGCAGGACAAGCACGGTGACAAGAACCGTGATGAAGAGCGCGAGCGTTTCAAAGCGGTGGAAGTTGAGGTCCATGGGAACTCCAATGATCCACCCGCCGATGACGGCGAGGGGGATGAGGAACATGGCCAGCTGAATGGACGAGCCGACCGCGATTGAGAGCGCCACGTCGAGCTTGTCGCGCATGCCAAAGAAAATGGCGGACGTGTGCTCTGGTGGGGGGTGAGGGGGGGCGGGGGGGGAGGGCAGGGGGAAAGGGTTGGGTTGAGAGAGGTTGAGAGGGATGGACGAGCTGACTGTGGTGGAGAGCGCCACGTCGAGCTTGTCGTGCATGCCAAAGAAAATGGCGGATGTTTGCTCTGATGGGTGGGGATGGGGCACGAGGGGGAGAGGTGGGGGTGGGGGAGGGGGACGGGGTACGGGGAGCAGGGGGGGAGGTAGAGAACAGGGAGGGAGGAAGAGAAGGGGCGGAGGGTTGGCGAGAATGGTTAGAATGTGCAAAAGAGGGTGGGATGGGTTGGAAGGGGTGAAAAGGGGTCGAAGGCAATGGAAAAACAATGACAAGAGGAGAGCTGGATACACATGCCAAGGAAACAGCGAGAGGGCGCGTGGCCAAACACTCGGTAGCGGAGTGAGGGTGTTGGAGACGAAAGACAAGATAGTGACTTGAAGATAGTGGGAACGAGAGGGGAAGGGGTTAAGGGGATTGCGCAGGGGAGAGGAAGGGGTTTCGGGTTCATGGCAGGAGGAACAAGGGTATAGAGAAAGCTGACGACACTGAGTCAAAATGAGGGGACAGAGGCGCGAGGTGTGGGGGAGTGGGGTTTTGGGGAGGTAGAAGGGTGCTGGGACAGGATGGGCGGGAGAAGGGCGAAGGAGACTGAATAAAATAACAGAGATTTTTTTTTTATTCTTGTTCGAGACCGGGGCTCACGGAAAGCGTTTGGATGAGAGCAGAAGGGCAAAGGGCGGGGGGGGGGGGGGGGAGGAGGAGGAGATGAGGAGGTGTAGCAGGGCCGGGTGAAGGGCAGGAGTAGTGGCAAGGCAATCGCTCACCAGTAACGTTGTTGACAAGTGGCAGCACGACAACGCAGATCCCTGAGAGCGGCACGTTCCACTCCGCGGCCGTGCCCTCGACCGAGTTCACCAGATCGTCCGACAGAACGGAGATTAAAGTCGTCACCACAAACAGCCAAAACACGCCGCCCCACAAGCCCAGCTCCGACTGCTCCGCGCCGCCGCCGCCGTCCGCGCCGCCGTCGCCGCCGTCGTCGCCGCCCTCCTCGAAAAACTCGCGGTGCGTGACGAGCTGGAAGTAGATGTAGGCGCCGTACGCGAAGAGCATGAGCACGGCGGCGAAGCGCGAGAGGCCCAGCTGCGAGTCGTACTCGTGCAGCTCCGTGCCCGTCGCGTGCAGCAGGTTCGGAAAGAGCATCCCGCTCATCGCGAGCATCAGCGCGCCTGCGGAACAAGGCGCGGGGAGGGGGAGGGGGAGGGGGAGGGGGAGGGGAGGGGAGGGGGAGGGAGGAGAGAGGGGGGAAACGGGCAGGAGGGGACGGGGGGGATGAGGAGGGGAGGGGAGGGATGTAAGGGGAGCAGGATACTCGTGAAGCTCCGTGCCCGTGGCGTGCAGCAAGATGGTGAAGAGCATTCCGCTCATCGCGTGCATCAGCGCGCCTGCGGAAGGACCGGGGGAAGGGGGGCACGAGAGGAGGGGCGGCAACGGGAAGGGGAAGGGGTGGGGAGGGGAAGGCAGGGAGAAGGAGGGCGTTGCGTTGAAAGAGCGGTGAGGGCTGGAGGAATGGAAAAGACGATGGATCGGCGGAAAAGCGGGCTCAAGCGGGGTGCGCAAGGAGGGGGGTTTTGGGGGGTTGTTGGAAGGGGGAAGAGTGGGGGAAAATGGGGGCCACGTTTTCGCGGTGCTCACGGCGTGGCCAAGCGACAAAACTCTGGGATAACACGGGCTTTCGCAGTGAAGGGTCTGCGAGGATCTGAGTCATCTTCGCAGTCATCATTTGAGGCGCCTCAAACATAGACGCGGGCTGTCCCAGTAAATGATGCGCGTGATCTTGGTGCTTCTTTCCGGTCCTTCCGGACAGAGACGCGACGACGGTCTCGCGATTGGTAGTTAATGAACAGTAACAAGTCGTACAACTCACGCGTATATTGTCGCGATCAATACGCGATGTGGCTTACGCCACGAATAATCGGTGATAAATCAATCGGCTGCTTCAACGTACCGCTGTTCATTTGCGCGGCAGGCCGGTTAAACTCCAGATGCTTGTGGTAGATCCCTCCTGCGAGGAACGCGCTTCCCATGCACAGCAGAAGATTCCCCAGGATCGATCCGAGAATCGAGAGCTGAATAATCCGAACGAGCCCTCTTTTAAGAGCCACTAGGACGATGATCAGCTCCGGAGCGTTGCTGAACGTCGCATTGAGGAGCCCGCCCAGGGTGGGGTTAGTGCACAAAGCGAGTTGCTCTGTAACGAATCCGAGACGCTCCGCGAGAGGGATCAAGGAAAGGAGGCTGAGGGTGAAAACGTAGCCATCGGGAAAGTTATGGAGGATGGCGAGAAAGGTCGCGGGAACGCAGACTAGGAGAACGTTGGATCGCGCGCCGAAGAAGAGCGCCCCGAGGCTGCGTCTCAGGTAAGTGGGCATGCTTTTCGGCGTCGCGTCGGAGGATGAGAGGAGAGGGCGTTGTTGCTGCGAGTGGGGCATACCGATATGATGGTGATCCTC